TGTTTTATGTGAATGGATATGAAAACTAGCTGCTTATCGTTTGCTTGATAAAGATGGACTCGTGAAAAAACTGTACTATAAATAGTTGTGGGAAGAAATACTTGTATGTATGTCAAGGTGAATGCAGAAATACACCAATATCTGTTTTAATCAGATAATTTCACAACTTAAGCTGAAGAAAAATTAAAGTTTATGTTTAGGTTAATAGATAAATCAGAAACCACAAAGGAGCAGGAGTTAGAGAACATTTATTCCTTTCACAATGCCCCCTGCATCAAAGCCACTCCAGTAAGTTCCTATTTGCTGTCTGGAGGGTTTGAGGACGTGCACCATTGAGAACAATGTATTTGTTAGATTTCTCCAAACAACCAAAGTGAGAAAACTGCTGCTGATAATGGGGAATTTACTTGTCCTTTTCCACACACGATACAATTATCTCTGGCTGTAGAAAACACACATCATAGGATGATTGAGTGTGACAGGAGAGAGCCTTTTTGAAGCTTAAAAGTACATATATAGTGGTGAGCCTTTAAATATATTTTAATGCTTTTCTTTCTTAGGTACTCCAGATAAATTTGCAATGCATATTAATGGAAGTAATTAGTGACTTTCTGGGAGTGGTATTTTACCTTAAAGTAATTGTCTAACCAGACAGGTGTTGTAAAGATGGAGGTAGTTGACAAACTATACTATAATTAATTCCAGTGTTTAATTTAATAATCTGTTTTGAGTCATTAAAGTCCCACTGCTGCTAATTTTTAAATAGCATATGTTGAGGTAGACCAAATATTTGTCTTTTAGCATTTTTCCTGAATGGCAGTGTGAGGTTTTATCTAAATACCCAGATAGTCGTGACTGAAAGGTATACAACTTCAAGACACAATAATAATTAAGCAGTGTTTCTTTACAACATGAATAAAGTAAACCGTTGAACTGGAAACCTGGAGAGCAAGGACAACAGTTAATGTGGTGATGGGATTCTTTGAGGGTAGTTCTGATCATATTATTTTGCTTACTGTGGGAGAAAATGTTTTTTTTTTTTTTATAGGAGTATGGGTCCAATAGTTCCAGTAGTTGTTCGAGGAGGTCCCAGAGAGTTTGCAAGGATCGGTAGGCAAGTAGTGGAAGGTGAGGAGCAACTGGAGAAAGCGCTAGGAAGCAGTTATGGTAGTATGAAACAAAAGCTTCAAAACATGCTTCGAACCCTGCGGTAAAATTACATCGGAGCACTGCTTCAGAGCTTGTTTTGGTGCGGAAAAAGTCACGTGACACGTGACATCAGAAACAAACTGTTTCGTTGTAGGAACAATCGCTTGACTGGTTCGCGGTCCAAACAGCTGATTCCCTTGCACCGCCTCGTCTTGATTCTGACAGGTAACAGGTTGAGACAGTTTTGAATTGAGAGCTCAACACTATGAAACTGCTATAAAATGTTTGCAATGCGTTGGAGTGTAGATGTGTTTTTGCTGTTAGTTGAAATTGAGTATTTATAGAGCCAGCCAGGAAAAGAGGTCGTTCTAACATGTGGGGACACTTCATTCTGCTCATGATAAGGTCGTTTTGGCATTTAAATGCCAAAAAAGTTATAGTAATGTTCAGCAGTGAAGATATTATCTAACCCATTTAACCCATGTATTTAATATAATTACAGTAAAATGATGTATGTGATTTTAATAATCATATATCAGTATGGGTTCTAATTATTATTATTTTATTTACATTAGTGTATGTATGCAGGTGCAGTGTTTGGTGTGTTCAACAGAACTGAAGCATCATGATACCTCCTCTATGATTAGACACTTCAGCGCCAAACATGGAGATGCTGGAGACGTCATCGCATTGATATTTTTAAGAATAATAAAGACTCGGACTCTGCCACAGTTACACAAGCACAATACCATTTCAACATTTTTATTAATTCTCTTCAATGCACATTTATCAATCTTTATTCAAAAGCATGTACGCATAAATAAATTTTCAAACCAGACAACATAGAAAGTTGAAGAATTTTTTAAAAAAATCATTTTTTTTTACCACAGTAAAGTAGTTTCTTTAACACTAGTCACTGAAGTTCTTCAGTGTGACACCAAAAGCATAACGCCTAATTTGACAGCAGCATTATAAAATGCTACAAGAGGTCACTGTAACTGAAGCTTCAACAAATGAACCTATTTTTGAAACAATTGGCCCAACTGGTTCAATGCTTCATAAAAGCTTCATTTGCTCATCACTACTAGGAAGTTCACAATGAAGACAAGAAGGTCCAGGACACAGGAGGAGCACAGGAGTAGAGGCTGTAACATGCAGGAGCAAGGTGTTAGTCTTCACAAAACTCCAGGAACATAAATGTGTCCAGGAACACAACTACCAGTAAGCAGATAATGCACCAGCATCCAGGAGAAGTCACCAGTGCCATTTATACCCCTACAGCTCATGAGGGTAATGGTTTGCAGGTGTGAGCCTGTTGGTGTCATCTGGTGTAGAAGAGCTGTAGAGACTGTAGAGACACTGGAACTCCTACAGGCAGAGTGACTGCAGGGATAGTTGTGTTAGTCTGTAAGACTGAAAGACGTGCAATACATCCGCCAGTCTTATCGAAATGTGATGTGATGAATTAAATGTGCAATAAAATTACAGTATGGTCAACATTTTACACCCACTCATTGTAGGCATACATTTCTGCTTCTGGCATAATTATGGCTGGATATTTGGCCACTCCTTTTGGCAGAAATGGCAGAGTTCACACAAAGTCCACAAATTGACAAAAAGACCCATAACGTTAGCCTCTTTTATCCAAGCAATAAAAAAAAAATACAGTTCTATTGTGCATTTGGAATTATCGCCCTGTTGGACCACCCAGTTGTGTCCAAGTTACAATCTAGTTGAAGAATTGAGAAGCAGTCTTCCTCCTCTGTTGTTCTACCCACTTTGAGCAATACATCAGTACCACAGCATGATGCTACCTCCACCATGCTTGACAGCTAGTGCAGTAATTTTGTAATTTTGTGTTTAAAAGGGTCTTCTAGACTCTACCAAACATACACTACTTTTTGATATTGCAGCCGAAAGCCAATGTTTGCCTTATCTTTTCATATTTTTCCCAGTGGGTATTTGGTAACCCTACTGAGCTGAAGGTGTCTGCACCATTACTCCATGATGATGTAAAACTGGCTTTACTGTGGACAGTGACACTAGTGATCCAGTAGTTTTCAGGCTTGATCCTTGGTAGTTCCTGAGTTGTTCCTGAATAGTCTAATTAATTTCCTTTTCATCTGACGGTGACAGATGAGTATTGATCAATCCAATATGTGCAAAGAAATCCTTTTTGGCCTGACAAAAAAAATAAAAATACTAGCTGCAGTACATCATGATTACCGTACTAACAAGATGTAGGTTTAGGTTTATTTGTCATGTGCAGATTAATACAAGGTCAACAATGTAATGAAATGTTCAGGATGAGAAGAACCATCTTGACTTGCCAAAAAACCCCAACAAGAAATAACAAAGCATGCAGCAAAAATACAAAACAAGGCACCAAAAGTGAAAAAGAAATGCATCTACAGCAGCATTAGCAAATTTAAAAACATTCTCAAACTTTCAGCACAACCTACAAATAAGTTCACGTGAACAAATGTGTATACCTGTATTTGAGCCTGCATTTAAAATGTGTTACTGTGCGGATTGAAGAAAAATTCACAATAAATCCAAACCGCTGCACCCAATTATTGTTTTAAAAAAAAATCATTGAAGCGTGTTGTAAAATATTTACACCCTGCAAAAATAATGCAGCTCCAACTGAATTATTTAAAGTTTTTGTACAATATCTGAGATGGTATTTGCTGTGAATTGGAGCTATATAAATAAACTTAATTAAATTAAATTGAATATGACACCCATCCCCATAATGTGTGTATGCAAACTTCTGACTGCAAGTGCATGCATGTTCTTTTTTTTCCCACTTTACACTCAAAAGTTAAATAACTAATTATTTAGGTCAACCAGTTTTGTTTACTTACTTATTTTAATATATTAACCTTATTGAATTCTTCTATATAGTGCATTAGTGAGTGCCTTCTTTCCACCTATTAAATAAATAGACCCGTTCTACAGTGTTTTTCCATTCTGCAACTCTGCTGCCTGCAGGCTGTGACTGTTCAATTTGGTTTCAATAAAATGGCTTTCTGTAAGTTGCTTTGTCCCGCTGTCAGAATAATTCAGGTACAAAGCTCTTGAAATTGTGCCCTTTAAGATAAATTATTTAAAATGTAGAGAATAGCATGCCAAGTACTAAAAAAATAAAACTTCCACAAATAAGATGTCTAAAGTGTATTTATTCTTATGTAGTCAGTTATTAAAGACTGAACAATGTGAACTGGAGCATTTAAGTAGACAACTTATAAAAATTAACCAAAAAAAATGTTTTTTTAATTGAACAATATGATATAAATTGTGGGAAATGATGTAGTTAAAGGTAAATTAAATCTCTACTGGCATCAAATAATACATTTGTGTGGAATAATTACACATAAGGACAGCCTTTCACTTCATTAACCACAATTTTCCAGCCTACAAGCTTGCAACATTTTGTATTTCATGTTAAGATAACAGTGGAGGTATGGCAGTGAAGTGGTTAGAGCTGTTGTTTTACAGCAAGAAGGTCACTGGTTCACCTACTGGCCATTCTTTATGGAGTCTGCAGTGTTCTCCCTGGTAGTGTATTGCATTGGTTTGACTCCTAACATCCTAAACCAGGGATTTTAGGTTCATTGGTAACTTTAAATTGCCCCTATGTGAGTGAGAGTGTAAATGGTTGTTTGTCTCTATGTGACCATGTGACCTGTTCAGGGTGTACCCCGCCTCTCGCACAATGATCAGTAGAGAAATGCTCCATATCCCTGCAACTCAAAAAGTAAAGCTGGTTAAAGCAAAATGAATGGATGGATGAATATAACAAGTTTGATTAACAGATATCCTCTTCTTTTTATTTTTTTTTTCCTCAGGTCCGAGGGAAATGCACAGCATCAGTAAAAAGACATTAGACCAAGACAGAAACCTTTTCACACATGTACCAACACAGGACTCAGAAAATGAAGCTCATTCTGTCACCACTGTTTCACCAATGAACATGCCCAACCACCAACCTATCTTAAAGGGCTTCCACCTCCACGAGCACCTACTTACACGGGACTTCCAGGGCGACCAACGTTTCTTTTGGAAGGATGGCTCCGTAGCTGCGCATCCAACCATGCCAGGGTCTGTGTCTGCTCCAAATGCAGGAGATGCTTTGACTCAAGTTGTGCCACATGAGGATGCTCCAGCCTTCTCGGACATTGCCACGACTGCCACTGCGGCTGCCACCTCCCCACTAACCATGTATTCTCACACCACACCCGCATCACCCATCTCTCTGCCCCAGAAGAAGTCTGCCAAGGAGAAGACCAAGGCGTCAGACAAAGTTGAGCCAACAACATACTCCCTGACTACTCAAGTGACGCCGTATAGTCGAGGCAACCCAGTGGCTTCCTTATCCTCGCAAGGCAGAGGCGTACCTATGGATGCTACTTTTACTTCAACAGTGATGGAAAAGGGACAAGTGAGGGAAGTAGCTGTAAAAAACAAAAGCAGCTCTGATCATCTACGCTCCAAGTTTCCTTCATCGTCTCAGGAACAAGGTACCAGCACAGAATCATCAACTGTCATCACGACTACCACCATCCCCACCATGCAAACATCAGGTGAGCTGTTTGTTTTCCTTTTGATTTTCATGCAGCAGAACATTCAAATGACTTTGTGCCACAAATAGTATCCACTTCTCATGTCATTTTCTTTCTTTTTTTTTCACAAAGAACGTCAGAACTGGGAGTATCATTAACAGATGCGTCCCAGTAGATTCAAAAATTAAGCATCAGGTCATCAGCATCATGTCTGTTCATTTTGCATTCTGCACACAGCTCTTCCCCTCCCTCTGCTGGGAATAGCAGAGTTGCTCATGTGTCAAAAACAATCTGATTTTTTCCCACTGATGTGTCCTGCCTGTCCTTTCCACTGGTCACAGAGGGCTGAGGGCCCAGATAAGCGGTATCAAAGAGGATTTCTGCGGAGATAGTTGGAGGGGTTTTGGGGGGCAGGGAGACACAGGTGGGCTGTCAGAAAGATCAGTGGTCTGGGAAAAAGGAAATCACTTTTATTTTTGCTCTCTCCCACAGAGCCATGCGGAATGAATTTCACCGAGTCGGAAGGTAGCATTGAAATCCTACAGCCACTTGACTCTGGTGTGGAGTGCAGTTACTTGATAACCGTCTACCTGGGATATGGCATAGAGGTTCAGGTCTGTATTATATATTCATAACAATGATTGTTATTTTAAATCATGCTTTTCAATAACCTGTCAATGTGTTAAAAATCTGAAGTGAAACATGAAAAATGTTAGTGAAAAATGAAACAAAAAAGTTAAATCAAAAAGAAAAAAACATTGATTGAAAAGGGTGCAGAAAGAAGTTTTTTTTTAAATATACACCCCTTTATTAAAAAAATAATAATAACTACAAAAAACAAATCAAGCTTGAACAATCCCCAAAGCGAAAACAAAAAAAACATCAGGCATTCTTCACATCATACTTTCTTAACAACTTGAACTTAATCATATTTTTAAACATATAAATAGTTTTAGAAATTTTTATGGTGATATCGAGGCAATTTCATAATCCTTTTCCCTGAATTATAACGCAGCTCCTTCAGACTAGTTCTAAATGGAGGTTTTACAAATATTTCCATTCCCTTAAGGTTATAATGACTCTCTTAAAAAAAACAAAAAAACAATTGAATATTTGGGGGTAATTTTTTATGAGCTTTAAACATGACTTGTAAAATACTATATTCAACCAAATCATATATATTTTTTTATAATTTCAACTGATGAAATAATATATTTGTTGGGTGACCATACCACTTCCTACTAATAATTCTTGTAGCTCTTTTTTGTAAAATGAAAATAGGATTTGTAATTGTTTTGCATGCTTTTCCCAAACTTCAATACAGTAGATTAAATATGGAACAATCATTACATTAAACAATACATGCTTTGTCATTCAAAAACTCTTTTACTTTATACGGTAATGCAATTGATTTTGCTATTTTCATTCTTAAGTAATTTACTTGAGATTTCCATGTCAGCTTCTCATCAATAACAACACCCAAAAAATTTTATGTCATTAACTATGAATTTCAATATTGTCAATTTTAAATGAGACTTGGATAATTTTATTTATATTACTAAATATCATGTAGTTTGTTTTTTCCAAATTAAATCATGATAACTTAAGTTGGAACCAAGTTTGTATTTTTACGAATGCTGCCTTTATTTTGCAACATACGTTCGATATCTTCACCTGAACAAAAAAAATGTGTATCATATGCAAATAAAACACGCTTCAAAAGTCCTGACACATTAACCAGATCATTCACATACAAAATAAACAACTTTGGTCCCTAAACACAGTCCTGTGGAACTCCACATCCATTTATCCATCATCCATCAGTTATTAACTATGAGAAAAGCTAAAGCAACATGTAGACATATTCTGAAGGTCACAATCATTGGAGAACAATCCTGGTGCTTTGCAAATGTAATATTTCTATACTTTTATTTTGGCATGCATCAGTCCAAAGAAAATGATTTGAAAGCTCCATGTTCACCAGTTAGGAGCTAACTTGTTCTCCAGTTTGTTGCAAAGCAGGTCAGGAACAGGATGTTTTAAACTCCAAACAAGCTGCCAGTACCTGCTGAAGCTACTGACAGAGCTGAGAGATAAAAATGCACCTGAAAGATGTTAAATCTACAAAAAAAAAAAAAAGGTTCTTAAGCTCAATGAGACAGATGAAAAGAGCCACACCAAAGAAAAACAAACTAAAAGAAAATACTGCTAAGCAATGATTAGTTTAGCTTGGGGTACCCTATTTGGTTCTTTAGACAACTATTAAACTGACATTATGTTGAAGCAGAACGTTTCATTTAATGACTGAACAACTCTGACATTCTTTGGTTTCCAGCCGGAGCAGGATTTTTCTGGTCCTTTGTCCCTCGATAAAGACAGACAGTGAATTAATGGGGTGAGTGGGAGGATGAGGGCACAAGAAATGGGGGTGGGGGTCTGTCTAAGGTTGAATGTTTGCTCGGTAAGTCTCTACACAAAAGGTTATAAAAATTAACTGTCAGTGCGAGCGTGTTCCTCTGCATTTGCAATTCCTCAAACGCCTCATTTACCACTGGAGACTTTAAAATGTGTGAGCTTTGTCTTGCTGCCTCTGGAAGGCTAAGATAAGTCTTGACTGAGTATATGTTTGAGAATGTGCTTTTCTCTGAAGACTTCCTCTGGGTAACTTAAGTAAATCTTGAACCACTTATAAGAAAAGGCACACACTCACCTGCAAGCACACTCACAGTCACATTCATTTGATGTATCAGCTCTCGGCTTTCGCAGCTTCTCCAGTGGTAGAAAATTTCTTTTGTGACTTTAAAAACTGCAACCAGGCTGGATGAAAACCCACGAGGAAGCAGTTCATTCTAGGACTTTGCAGATAGATGGGGCCACTGTGTCCTTGTCTCACCGCAATCAAAGGGGGAAGTTATTTGATAGCAAACTATGCAAATGACAAGCCAAGGTCTCTTTTACAGGAAAACACACACTCACTGAAGACAGGGAGACGGGAATTTAATTTATGTTTTGTTATACCTTCAGATCAGAAGGGTGAAAGGCTTTTCTTTCTCAAAACAAGCCAGCTTCACAGATTTGAGCAGATACAGATGATCACTTAGTGATATGAAGGTCATTTATGTTAAGAAATCTTTTACGAATTAAAACATTTTTAACTCACATTCAGGTTGTCTTTACATTTCAGCTGTCATTCTGAGAGGCTGCACAACTTTTTTTTTCTTTTTGTATCAAGATAATGAAGATTAGAGAATGGTTAAAAGCAGTTATTTTTTTCAGGTATACCATGGTCTTAAAGCCATAAACTGGATAATAATCTTATAGAATACCAGAGACAGTATGGAGTTTTCCCAGTTTGTATCCACTGCAGGGAAACTCTGCTGTTTGAGATGTCATTAAATGAGCTGAAAACATTCTCCCTGTTTAACAAAATACAAAATGTAACTGAGTTAAATTCAGTTAGGATGATATTATTATTCTGAATAGTACTTCACTATATTAATAAAAATAAATTAAGTGGGTTTTTATTTCATTTTTTGTTTGTCTTTGCAGCACACTTCAATTTTCCAGCATAACCAAAAGAGATACAAAGATTTGGTGATTACAATATATCATGTTTTTCTTTGGGTTTTTGTTTAGCCAATGAGCTAATTTACGAGCTAAATGCAAACATTGCATTACGATGTGGCGAACTACAGCAACATGAAGAACAAGTACTTATACTGAATACATTTATTGGATTTTAATTGTATGCTTTTATTTAGGTCTTTAGTTTTCTGCACTGCTCTCAGCTAATTTACAAATTAACATCAGCTTCCCAGGCTTCCAGCATTATTTAACAAAATGTAGAACAGCAGAGAAATTCTAATATCTGAATGTGTGAGTCCTGAACAAATGGTTCAAAACTCGCGAGTCATTTCACTGAATCAGACGTCGTGATTATTTACATGATTTTACTATAAAAACAAAACCAAAAGGCTGACGAAACAGTGAAACTTACAAAACTCAAGACTTGCTACAAGAGGTACATGAGAACCAGACTTGGCATGAGGAGATGCATAACGCTCAACTGGTGGGTTGTGAGATACAAAATATGGACTTGAGCTAATGGGAAGAGTGGGTGCAGCTGTGACTAATAAAACCAGGAACAGGTGTGACTTGGTGTGGTAGAAGCACAGGACAAAATATTCAAGAAAAAAATAGAAAAATTGCACTTTCTGTGAAAATGCAGTGTGAATGCTTATTGCTGAAGAACTTGCTGAAAAACAGCTGAAATTAGCTAAAAACATGCTGAAATGTACAGTAGCTGAAAAGGGAGAACAAGCCTAAGCTAGCAGAAGAAAGCAGAAAGAACACATATTTGCTGGATTTTGTTTAAATAAGCTGAAATCAGGAAAAAAAAAAAAGTAAAGTAAATTAGCTTTAAAAGCTGAAATTAGCTGGGGGGGGGGGGGGGGTAGCTGAAAAGGAGCTGAAAAGGCAGAAAGAAGCTTAAATTACCAAAAGGAATTGGCACAATTTCCCCCAATTAGGCTGAAAGAAGCAAAAATATGCACAAAAAGTGAAAATTATTTGAAAAAAGCAGACATTTGCACACTCAAAGAAACTGCCGAAAAGAGCTAAAAAAAAGCAACAACAAAAAAAAGCTTAAATTACAAGAACGAAGTGGAGAGAGCACATTTTTTTGCTGAATTAGGCTGAAAAAAGTAGAAATGACTGCAAAAAAAGTGTAATTAGCCAAAAACACTAAAAGCAGCATAAAACAGCTAAATGGTAGCTGAAATAACAGAAAAATCAAACTTGTCAAAATAAACTGAAAGAATCATAACAAGCTGAAATTCGCAGAAACAAGTTAGGAGCACAAAAATGTTTTAGTTGGCAGAAATAATCTAAAAAAAATCACAAAACAACTTAAAAAACAGCTGAAAGTAGCTGAAAAAAGTTCATATTTGCACAAGCAAGCTGAAAGAAGCAGAAGCAGAACAAAATGTGAAAGGAGCAGTAACAGGTTGTAAACAGATGTAAAGATTTGAAGGATGTAAAATGAGTTCAGTTAGTTTTCTATGAGGAAACAAATGGTAGAAAAGGCTAAATTTCTCAAAAAGCTAAAGTTGCACCAATACCTAAAGTCAGAGCACCCTTCTCCTGAATGAGCTGAACGTTTTGTTATATGATTTGTTGAAATAGCACAAAAACTGTGAAACGAGCTAAATGCTGAAAAACGTACAGAAGAAAAATGGATGACAATAGTGTGAATGCTTCATAAACATTCACACAATAAATTACAGGTCTCTCTTGAAAATGAGTTCTCGTGGCTCAATGAGACTAACCTGGATAAATAAAGGCTAAATGAAAAAAAAAATGAACTCAAAACAGAAAACACAAAAACTGTCACTAAAACAGACAACAATCACAGATTGTCACACAAACATAGAAGACACAAAATTACAAGCTGGAGATTTATTATTATTATTTTTTTAATTACTGCTACCTTCTCTATTGACAACAAGGCGATAATAAGTTGTATGTTTATTGTACGCATCTCTTTACCGTCCAAGGAGAGTCCTTCTCCAGCATAAGGATGTAATAAAGTTGTCATGAACCAGAGGCCGGATCG